ACCTGTACGTTTCTAAAAAAGTTAGAAGAATCAGTCTCATGAGCCTTCGATAAAATCATGTCAACCTTAATGGCAACACGTAGCTACGGCAAAGTGTACAGCTCGCCTTTAACCCTGAAAATCACATCTACATCAGGGCCTGTCGTAAACTCCGCTCTATCATTTGTAAATGGACAACAATTGGCATTGGGTAAACGTTATTCTTTATCTTACGGCCAATAACTGACTTTTATTCCCTGTTTTGAAGGGTTGAGTAGTTTATTTGTAGAATTATAAGAATTTTTAGTAGTGAAAAAACGAAAATAGATTAAAAGAATGATAATAATGAAAAAGTGAAATAAATGCTAAAACTAAGCTGTTGGCCCAATAACAGTAACACAGAGTCACTAATAACTGATCCAAAAGGAAAAATCAGAATAAATAGAAACAGGGAACATTGAATTACATTTATTTAACCGCCAATTAGATTTAAATTTAACAAACTGTGTTAATTGTTAGATTCTTGGCACCTGAATAGAAAGATGAAGAAATAATTGATTCTTTGGTGGAAAACTGGCTGATAGTTAGGTATTCAGATTCACTTATATTTTGTTGTAAAAACATATCTACTAAAGTAGAGAGTATTTGAGACAACAACAAAAAAAAAGATGGTGAGTTCCAGTTTGGCGGATTTCGTCAATGAGAGGGCAGAGTCTGTTTTCCCTATTTTTTTTATTTTATTTTTTTTTTTTTGACAACCCTTCGCAACTCATAGTGGATCTGATACTGTGTCCTATAGAAAAAAACTCCTGTATTTCAATTTAATTTTAAAGAAATCAAAGTATTTCTTTTTAGATTAATTTGATAAAGAAAAATGTGCGGCGCAGACTGTCCTCTGCAAAAGTGAGATCTGGAAACCATAATTTAAGGTGGCTCGATAGGGTTTTTCAGGGTCAGTACTTCCCAAGTTTGAGCACAAACTGCGTCGCCATTAACAGAGATTTGGAAAAATTACCATCACAGCTGTATTAGATGAAGATGAGAATTGTAATGATCAGGGTTACAATGATATCAGAGTTGCCATAGAAACGAATTGATGCATTACCGTTTTTACTTGAAGCCGCATTTTTCGGCACTGCGAACCGTTCTTCCAAAATCGTTCACGGGAGCTTTTACTTCCAATAGCTGCCTCGATGTTCGTGAAATTTAAGCAAAATCTGTAAGAGCGTTATCTTGATATTTTGGGATGAAGTTTTTATGGTCAGAAATACGGTAAAAACTGGACAGTCTTCATGTTCGGCCGTTATATGTAGAAAACGAAGCGCTTTTGAAATGAAATTTCACCTCATAGTAGTTTCAACCTTTTTAGAAACGTGTGTGAAAGATCATGGGAATAGCTTCAGCCGATTACTAGAAAGAAGGATTTGATTAGTATGTGTTGAGGAGCTCTTGTTAGCGGTTTTGTGAACATTTTGGTCTTCTTAAATATGTTCTTTGTCACACAACCCTATGATCCTACAACAATCGGTATCACCTGTACAGTTCTCATGTTCCACGTCCTTGCAATTTTATTTTTAAGCTCCTGATATTTTTATTTTTATTATCTATTATTATTATTATTAGTATTATTATTATCATAGTAATAGTGTTAATAGTACTAGTAGCACTAGTAGTAGGTAGTAGTAGCAGCAGTAGTAGTAGTAGATACCTCTTATTAGCCTAGTTTTTTCGGTCCGTACTGTAAATCACGGACCGAGTTTTTTTCAAAATCGATGGAAAAATAAACGAGGGTCCGTAATTTACAGTACGGACCGAAAAAAAACGAGGCTAATAAGATGTTTATTATATGGCTTCTTCCAGTTTGGGGGACCGGAAACAAGTGCAGGACGCGCGATTTGACAATCATTTGACAGGCGTCAAGAAAGAAAGTTTTTATTGGCTCACGAAAACAAGAGCATTTAACAAAGTCTTTCCGAGAAAGTGAAAACAAATTCGCCATGTTGAAAAAGTTATTCGGTCAAAACTAAGAGCACTGTAAGTTTTAGCTCTTTCATGTAACGCTGGAGTGTTTTGGAAACCGGACACTGTCTGTCTGGAAGTCGTTTCCATCTTTCCTCCATTTGGTCCTTGTAAAACAAAAACGTTGCAAACGGCAAGAAAGCTTTTCAAGGTACGTTTGCTGTCATTTTATCGTTAACGCTCGTTAATTTTTCTTGAATTTCTACCAGTTCATTTTCGTCTTCATCTGTGATCTGCTTTAAAATTTTCAAACGCTGGCTAGAATTCTCTTCCTCGGTAAGGTTACGAGTCAGTTTCTACATCAGCTTCGTTCTCATTAAAACAAAGCTTGGTTAAAATTTGGAAAGGTAAAGTCAACATCTCAGTCCTCAGGTTGTACAGACATATTTTAAAGCTTATTTGGTCAAAACTAAGAGCACTGTAAGTATTCACTGGCCAATGTGACGCTGGAGTCTTTTGAAAACTGGACATTGTGTCTGGCTCGAAGTCACTTCTATCTTTCTTTCGTTGGTCTTTGAAAAAACACTGCAAATGGTAAAGAAGCTCGTCAAGATGATCGGGTGCAGGTATGTTTGTTATCATAATTGTCGAAGGAATTACTTATTTCTCTTAGGCAAAACATCTCGAGTCTCTGCCAGTCGATTTTCGTCTTCTTAACAGTGTACCACAATAAAATATTCGAACAATGACTAGAATCCTCTTCGATAAGATTACGAGTTAGTTTCTTCATCGCCTTCGTTCACAAATAAACACAGTTTAAAATGTTGAAGGACAAAGTCAACATCCATGTCCTCAAGGTTGACAGACGTCTTATAACTGAGATTTAGAGCTCCGAAATGAGCATTTTTGGCACATTTTTGTCCGTATAGCAAGTTACGGACCTCAAATTGACCAATCGCATGACGAAAACAGACTCAGCCACAAAATAATCATCATTATCCTGGGCATTATTTTATTTTATTATATAGATACTGATGAAATACCAGGATTTTTCCTTTTACTAAAAAATCATATCTTCATCGCGCGCAGTGAAGATACTATTTTTATCTTTCACGTGTGAGAATATTGCTGTCGCCATGGTCACTGACATGACTAGCCAATTATTGTCTTTATTTCTCCTTTATAACTTTATATCCGAGTTTCATAACATTTTTGTGACAGGCATTTTGTGATAGGTGACCATTTTAATTGCACTATTTTGCTGTTTCGAAAATGAATAAAAAAAAGTTGTGTTTTATGTAGGAATTTCATCAGTATCTATAAAATAAACAGAACATTACATTGCCGCTTGGGGATACGAATTTTATCTTCTCGTGCTGAAAGTATCCCTCACTCGTTCGTTTCGCTTACTCGTGAGAGATACTTTCAGCACTCGAACATAAAATTCGTATCCCCGCGCGGCCATGTAATATCCTCTATACATACACACTGAGAAATATTCACCAAGCTGTGTCGTGAAGTTTCAAAGACAAATGAGTTCTAGCCAATCAGAAGAGCGAACAATGTTTTTCACATGTGGAAAAAATAATACGTCCAACCGGACTCGCGAACGGTGTTTTTTCGCGTGTGAGAAAAATTACACGTCCAGTCAGAAGTCTCAGAGGTGTGTGAGTTTCGCGCCAAAATTCCCTCTTTTTATAGGCGCTTGCAGCTTGCAGCGCCGAGTTACTTCGCAGACATTCAACGAGAAAGTTTTTCTCGAAAAGTTTTTCTGGTAAGAAAGTGAAAAACATCGCGGAAATTGAAGTGGATTAGTTTCGTGTTTCACTGTCGATGAAGAAAATTGTAGAGATCCGGCAAAACAACAGCGGCGGGGGATACACAGGACGTGACGTAAGCTTAAGTTGCGCTTTTGATCGGAGCTACTTTTGTCTTCTATTACACTAAAGTTATATTCATGCAAATCAGCCATTTTCAGTTGTGCATTCAGAACAAAAAGTTAACACTACAGTACTTGCAATTCTTAGATTGCCTCATATCCTTACCCTCATTACATTTTTAACAAACGTTTTACTACAGTAATAAGCTGATACTTCGTTTTCTTTGTCATTTCACGGTGTACATTTCCAGCGGCAAATTTTAGAATTTTGGAAAGTTTTGAAATGAAAAGGCGGCTAAAATGAGAAATATCTCAGTATGTATATAATCGACGGAATACCACATGGAAAGTGCTCGTTGTTTTTGTGTCAGAAATCTCACTCGTTCGCTGCGCCCACTTTTTCGAATTCTGATACGTCAACAACCATACCGTACGTCCTGCACTTTCCATGAGTATTCTATATGTCCCTGAATAAGAAATTGTTACAGAAACGTATTGATAATCATTAACTGAATCGAGCCTCACTAGCTTTAATCACCGCATTTTCTATTTTCTGCTTTATGTTCGCAGGTATTCTTTTACAAATTTAGAGGAGGAGGTCAACGGGAAACCGAAAAAATAATTTATCCCCTTTCCTACTCAAGGTGAAAGCGACGGAGGGGGAGGGGGTCTATAGTGGCTCAATTCTCGGCCGGTCCAAAGAAATTTGTTCCACTTCACACACGTGCATTGTCCACGCGTGAATTCAGTTTCGACCTATGACATTTGTCTGTTCGCACTCTTCCTTCTTTAAGAGGCTTTTTCATGGCAGGGGACTTATTTTGGCGAAGGTTGTTAATACGAACCCTGAGCTTTCCACAATAAATAATTAGTTTCAAATGTCAGAGATGACAAGGGCATCTGGATGTGCGTGCAAAAATGTCATCCTGGGGGTATTTGTTCAAGATGGCATTTCCTAACAGTTTTGAACTTTATCCTCTGTATCGTAGTTTGTTTACTTTTTAAATGATAAAGCATTGCAAAGCGTTGCATATATGTAAAGGCGCTTTGGATATGATCCAAAGACTCCCTACTTCAAACCCACTCACAAAATGGGGCATGAGGTGTGTCATGTTGAAGGACGAGCCGAATGAAAATGACCAAATAAATCAAAATAAACCACATCAAAATTTATTTAATTCCCTCATACAGGAGATAAAAACACACAAAAGCATTGCAGAGCCTTAGCGGCTGTAGTTTTGAAGCAAAGGTGCTGTTTCTTTGGCCAGACCTGCTCCTGTTTTGGTAGGTGATTAGTGTATGGCATCACACAACATTGCATGCTGACGAACATCTTCTTAAAGCATTTTCCATGTATCTGAAATAAGTGCAAAGTAGATAATTATAAAAAGCGGAGTATTTTAGTCGAGCGAACTACGGGAAGACAGTATAGAACGTGAATTGTTAGTATGAGAGATTGAAAGGGAAATGAAACACCAGGTTGCGTAATCAAAAGAACATTTCACAGATGAGTATAAATGAATAAAATAATCAGTGGACAATGAAATAGCCAGGAACCGGCATCAATTTTATGCATGAGCCATAAGCTATTAAAACACAAAGGGTCTTAATTATATAGTTAGGAATATTAAATCTTAGCATTCCCCGAGCGATTTGCTCTTTTCATTGGTACTCAAGGTAGCGTGTGAAAAAACATAAAGAGGTAGTTCAGCCTTGCAACAGTTTCTTTAGCGCATAGAACAATTTCATGGACCGGAAAATAATTGCTTACTTAATCCGACTGATATTTTGTGTCAGCTTTACTGCTAACTTTACCATTTAAACCGTGAAAACTGATGTAAACAATTAAGCGTTACAATTTTACATACAGCGGGGGTCATCGTCTTCACAAACTTAATATTGTCACTACCTTTTACAGTGTAAGAACACCACACTAAATCTCTCGCTGACGAACGTACTGAATTGTTTGACTTTAACTGCACATTTTGCAATAATTCCAATTTAGGTTGACAAGAAATGAAAAACACAAGTTCATCCTGATAAAGAATGGTCACAAAATGATTGTAGGAGTGATCATGATTACATCAGGGGCACCCAACGACAATTTTCGGAAAATATCTGTTCGGAAGACGATTTGAGATCTAGAATTTTCGGAACATTTGTTGTAAAATTTCTTGCTTGCCTGCCTCTCCTAAGATTTTCGAACATCTAAAAAATGTCATAATTGCCCATTTTAAACGGATTTTTACCCTTAAAAGGTCACCTAGAATTTTCGGGAGCCTTTTTTCTGGCAGGAATTTTCGAAAAGGTAAGTTTTGATCCCTATAATTTTCGGATCACTAGACTTTCAGCTAGGAAATCCGAACAGATGAAAAATTTTTAGGGGATAAAAATATGCCTATATCTACTGTTTAAATACTAAAATACGTTTAACAATGCTATGTTTAAGTGGTTTTGAACTATATTCTCGTTGGGTGCCCCTGTTACATTTCACATGCAAGATTGATCAAAGACAATTCAACAGACGAGATTAAAAACATCAGGGGCACCCAACGATCGATTGTTTCCAAATACGCCAGAAGTGTCTCAGATGGTTTTCTCTATGCCTTAGAGGCCTGTTTGGTCAATTTGGAGTTGTCCTAAGAACTATTTATCTGTCCGGATGTCTTAGGGGAACTTTGATCGTCACGAAAGTTTTAGCTGGCTCTCATTCGTCTCATCTGAAAGTGTTAGCTACCCTCGAGGACATGAAGTAGCCTTGCTTTCATAGAAAACTATAGGGAACGTTTTGCCTTTATACTGAACGTTTTAGGAGATCTTTTTTAACAATACTAATCGCACTATCTTGATATTAAAATGTGAAAACACAGCCTTCGAAAATCGTAGTTAAGCTATTAGAAATATATTTTAGACGAATGGAACAGTTATACAGAAATTTTAAGCTTTTCTCAAGCTTTCAAAATTTCTAGGCAATATTTGCTCCTTCGAACAGTTATTTTACAGAATATAGTCGCTGGGTGCCCCTGAAACATCTTCCAATTCCATGTTTAATTGCATCTATCAAGAGTTCATCTCGCTGACGACGAACGTAAATTGTCTGTTGACTTTGACTACACATTTTAGAATAATTCCAATAGTTTTAGGTTGACAAGAAATGAGGAAAGCAAGTTCATCCTGATAAAAATGGTTACAAAATGACTGTATAAGTCATCATGATTACATCGCACAAGATTAAAGAAAATTCAACAAGCGCCATTTAACATATCTTCCAATTCCATGTTTGAATGCATCTATTTCCCAAATTCAAGTCTCATCTCAATGAAAGATACGATCAGTGCCGAAATCAACCGAGCTGTAACATCAGATGAAACGTACCCCGTTGAAGATAAGGCATTAGCATTAGCACAACTTAAAGAAAGATGGCATTTGAGGATGTGATGATGTTAGTCGCGACGTGTAAATTTCACCTCATTCAGTCGATGTATACTAAACATCTGGATGAGTCGTTTTATATAGTGAAACCACTAGCAGTGATTTAGATTAGCAGACAAACTCTATGATCCTTTATAGGTTTTCTTGATAGTGCCACTTATTCTAGGTAGCTTTGATTAGATACGTTAATTTTACGGAGAGCAATCACTTAGAGCGAAAACATTTTCAACAGACAACTCTTAATTCACAGCAAAAAGAATTCAATACACCACACACAGGTTATACATTTTTTGGCACCATTATATGATCTAAGACTATCATATATAAGTGACTCGTTTACCTGCAAAAGATATATAATCATATAGTTTAACATGCTTAGGATGTAGTGAAAGCCAGCAAACCTGACTAAACAACACAAAAAAATAAAGCCAGCAACGTGAACTCTTCTCAGGTTTAAAGATAAGGTTTGAAAAATATAATGCATGTAACTGCCACGACGGTAAACCTAATTAAATACTTAACGAAAAAAACAAGAGAAATAAATGTCAAACGAGTGACTGAATTCTCTTCATTAAGATAAAACTTCTCTTTCAATTTACCCTTGGCCGGAAAAAAACTCAATTAACAATGGCCGTTCAAGAGAATATTCATACAGCAAGAGTTTCGTTTCACCTGCGCGACAAATTACATTTAGTTCTGTATGGTATTTACAATGGCAAACCAGAGAAAGGTATTCAGACATCCGACCTGTATTTGATGCATCTGTCGGAAAACATGTCACAAGTTTCTTGGGAGTACTGAATACTTCATGCGTCAGAGCCGACCGAACAGTGTAGCTTGGTTTAATGACAAATGAGGAGAAATGTTAGTGTTAATTGTCTCACTTCTCTTTTATCTGGCATGGCTGTACGGTTTTCTTAAGATTGAAACGCCATACGGAGAGAAACATGCATGTCACAAAGAGAACAGTTAGCCAAATTCAAAGTGAACTAAGGCCATAAAGTATGTCATCCTTTAGCTCTCATAGATCAGTGAAATCTTAGATCTACGCCAGTGGCAGTTAAACATAAATGACAGAGTGCTGACTACACGGTATCCGGGTTTTAATTCTTTGAAACACAGAAAGTTTGATGATAATACTAGCTTTATTTTTTGCAAAAGTGGGGCTAATATTGGCTCTTCTTAACACTATTTGTGTAACTATGTTTCATCAGTACTCCCTTTAGAGGTTGCTGATAAAGTCAGTGCAGAAATGTCTTCGGTGATAATTTGATTCTTGATCACTGCTATCACTCCTGACTGTACCGTAAAGAAACTGTAACGGTGAATTAACTCATATCACCCGCAGATTCAAGTCGCTATTCAAGCCAGTTCAACTTGATGGAAATTAGTCTCTATATATATGAAAATGCCGGGCAGGTTCATGCGCGAACCATACCTTTAAATTAAGAATTGTTAAGTCAAAGTATGGATGAAATAAACGGCTGAAATAGGGGCGACGAACAGGACGAAAAAAAACTAGTAAACAGTACAGATGTAAAACCAGTTAATACTAACCTACTAAGTCCCCGGTAGGACAAGGCCTTCAACGTAGATTACACGAGTGTAAATCCACAATGACAAGAGAAAGCCGGTTCATCGGGTGTACATTCAATTATAACATCCGGGACTCTTCGGTTTCAATGTCTTGTCATAAATTACCCGATTAGCCACAATGTCTAAGGGACGGGACGGACCATTAGAAAATTTATCGGGGGGGGAGGGGGCGGGCGAAGTACAAAAAAAATATTCGCGCAAGGGAAAATTAAATGAAAAAAAAATTCATGCACGCCAATTAATCCTAAAAAATATTCATGCTATGGCCTGCAAAAAATTCATACAAGGAATTTGATAACGAAAAAAAATTTCTGCGGCTCGAAAATTCCCCTCCCCCACCCCCCATAACTTTTCTAATGGTCCGTCCCTAAATGAAGCAAATGTTGCCAAAATTTGTCGGATGCAGTTTCATCTTTTTGTACGCCTCTTTTGATTGCTGTAACATTGCATAGTGGAGTATTTAGTTCTGTCCTAGATTTTTGTTTTTGTTTTTTTATATTTCAATTTATTTGTATAGAAATTGGCTTTTAAGTTGACAATAGTCGAGCTATGAATGCTGTTTATTTTATTTCTCTTGCCAAGGTTAAGAAGGAACAGTGGAAATTTTCCAAACAATTTTTCAACAAGTATCTTTTTAGATTTTTCTAGCAAAAAGCACTTAACCTAAAATGTTGATAATCACTTTGATCCTTTCCAAAATGTCAAGAATTGTTCGTTGTCATTGGAAAGTACTGGAAAACGGGCTTAAATTAAAATGGTGTTTTACCTTGACCTTGCACTGATGCTCGACTTAAATTCTACGTGGAAGAAAATTAACGTGGCCAGCCTAGCAAATATGAAATGTAGAATATAACTTAGACAAATCAAGGTTTTTATGCTTTTACACAATTGAGCTTTTGTTTTAAAACGAAAAAGGAAGCCTATGCAGGGATTTTGTGGAAATATTGTATGGACACGCGCTTTCCATTAACAGCTGCAGCTGTTGACAACAAGACTAAAGATGTAAAATTTAAAACCTCTTAGTGAAAAAAACTACCAGCTATCATTATGAGCGCTAAATGTAAGACTGCTTATTGTAATGTCTGGATAAGTTGTGTGGATAGAAACCCCGGGTGTGCGGGGCCAATAATATGGGTCTTCCTACTGGTTGCGTAACAATATAAGCTCAGAATGGCTCACTATAAACAAAACTGTGACACTTGTCGTTTTTTGATACCAAAGGTGAAACTCTTTCCATCAATGGTTAAAGAACCTGTAACACTTAATAGTTCATCTATGTGCAATAACACATGTACATAGGCAGAGATCGAGAAAAAAGCTAAAATAGAGAGGTCAGAAAGCTTATGCACAGGGTCGGGAAGTCTGGGCTTTAAAAACAACGTGACAAAATGTAATCTGCGACAGCAATCAAATAGTATCGGTCAGTATAAAACATGGACTGCGGACTGGGTGTAAAACACGGACTAGGTATAAAACGCGGACTACGGACTATGTATATAAAAACAGCTTTAGAAAGGTAAAACTGAGACAAACGGAAAGCCGCCGGCATAAAACGGTAGTCCCAGCTCCTTGCCTCGCACACAAATCTTCAAAACACATTAGCTGTTAAGGTTCCAAATCTTATCACGATTATCCTCTTAAATTAAGGACAAAAGGGCAAAACAAATGGACAAAAGAATTTTTTCTATTGTTTCTGGCTTGATTAACGTTTATCTCTTTTAAACATGCATATATTGGCATCCTTTAGTCTGGAAAGACGATGGTGTTGCGCTCTGATTGGTTGTTCTCGAACAGCGCCTTGTGTGGCTGAAAAGACTAATTCGGGAATGACAGTCCCTTCCACGCAGTGAGCAGATGTGGTCAGTTGCTGGTCTATCTCCCTGGTTTCGGGCCTTCCTCGTTTGTCTCTTTGTCTCAGCCTGTTCGGCAAGTGTATTTTCAAACTCGGAAAGGCCTTGCTGCACTGCCTGCCTCCACGCTGAACGCTCTGAAGCCAAGGTTTCCCATCCGTTGATATCAATGACCAAGGCCTTCAGGTCCCTCTTGCAGACATCTTCATAGTCATTAAACAACCGTTTTGCTATTTCCAACAGTACAAATTCTTTAGCCTTTGATGTGACGGTGATACTCCAGCCTTTTTCGGCAAAGGGGATCAACTGAGGTGCTAGGTGTCTGGGTAACTGACCACCTTATACCCTTCTCCTTGGTCAACATTAACACTTACTTCTGGCTTAGGGCAAAATGTTGCCTTATGGGAGGGGTAGGTGGTCAGTTACCCAGACACCCCTATTGAAGTTTCTATGTGGTGATCCTTGCATTGGTGGTCGCTTGAATGGAGTCTTTATTTCACAGCGAATTTCAGATGGCATTCACTCACTCTTAAACTTGCCCTAACTCTTACACTTACTTCACCTTGCTCCTTTTTCTTTTTATTGACAATTGTCTATTGTTTGTACATATCTAAAGATCTAAGGATAAAGGGAAGGACAATGCCAAACTCCTTTTACCCATGCATTAAGCGGAAAATTAGAGGGGACAACATGCATAGTTGAACCTGACCTTCCATTCCGCCTTTAACTTCAAGCAGACACAGGCATGTTAACTTTTATCTCAATACATCCAAATGTCACCACAGACATTTGGCACATTTGATTAGAAACATTTTACGCCGCTTGTTCTGTATTTTATGCTTTTTGTTCAGGAAAGAAGGATAACTACCATCGGCCACCCGACATCTCGCCACTTCTGACTTCATATCGTAGCCATAGTAACCCCGACAAAAGCTTTAGAAGAGAAAAGATTCCGGCAAAAGGTTATCGGCGACAAAAAATCATGTCTCTATATGTCCTTTTAAGATTCTATCATCCTTCACCCTCACTAGGTGATTACATAATTACATACAAACAAACATACAAAATTAAAAGAAAACAGAATAACATTTTAAAAGGGAACAAAGCATGAAAACGTTTGTTCGCCACAACACAATTCTGATCGTAATATAAGCTTTCCAACATTCGCACGTAAGAGTATGCTTTGTGTCCTCCATTTGATGACGGCCCGAAGATCAGTTTTCACATAATGCTTCTAACATTACATAATGAAATGACGTATGATGAAGTAAACTTCCGCAGTCACATGAAAACTTTCAGTCTTCACCCCAAGTAGAGCAGATCCCGAGGCTGGTACCTTACCCGCGTAACGTATCCGAACCTGTACGTTTCTAAAAAAGTTACAAGAATCAGTCGTATGAGCCTCCAACAAAATAATGTCAACCTAAATGGCAAACACGGACTGCGGCAAAAGTGCCCAGCTTGCCTTTAACCCTGAAATCACATCTACATTAGTGCCTATCGTAGGCTGTAAACTCCGCTCTATCATTTGTAAATGGACAAAATATCACTTGGAATTCATCAGCTTTTGCCAACAATTAGCATTGGGCATTGGGTAAGTTATTCTTTATTTTGCG